GGGGAGAGGTATTGGGGTCTCGACGCAGTGTTCGAGCACTGCTCTTGATTAACGCAACAGTTCAAGTCCGAACGAAAAAGTTGGGCTCTAAAGCGAGAAAAGCGCTTCGCAAAAAAAGTGCGATACTACTAATCCCGCCTCTTCGGCAAGATTTGACGTGGTGAATTCGTTGGATCTACTGTATAAAACACGTCGAAACTTGTCAAGGAGGCGGGATTGGAGTACCGTCCCCTTTTTCCGAAGCGATTTTCTCGCTTCAGAATCCACCTTTTTCCATCGGACTTGAACTGTTGCGTTAGCCAGGAGCAGTGATCGCACACTGCGTCAAGACCCAATACGCTCCAGTTGACCTGGACGATGCCTTCAAGAGAATTTAGAGAAAACCGGCACCCACCATTCCTCCTTTGTCTGCATCCGTATCATCATCCTCTAGCACAGCAAAAACATGTTTTTCCAATCCAGCGCAACAAGAAAAGATTTTATTTTCGAAGTAGAAATCATAGTTTGCTTCCTAAAATCAAGGGCTTCAATTTTGAGGTCGTAAAGGTTTGAAGATATTACCTTGAGAGTAAAGGGATCCCTTCGTACTGCTTGACGCCGACCACAAGAGCATGTGGAAAGATAGGTGATGTCATTGGAGTGCATTTCCCATTCACTGGATGGTACGGATGCATCACCGATGGTAGCATGCACCTAAAACTTAGTATGAATGGTGCTTGGGAGAAAGGGGTCAAACAATAATATCATGAGCTTTAGCGCAAATAAACAAAACATTTACCAACTTAAGTGGTTACCACAGCAAAAAAATGAGACAAATACGGTAAGACAAAAGGGACATAGATTATTCACCTTCAATTGGCAACGATTCCCCGTCATTGAGATTTCCTCACAACCTCGCATTCCTCCTTGCCAGAGACTATCACATGTGGCTCGTACTTGCGCAATCGCTTCATCTCGATCCCCGACTAATACAGCATCCAAATAAGCTATAGCAAGAGCAACCTGAATGCATAAGCTTGGACTGCTGTAGACATGGCGATACTCTGATGCGTCTAAGCGTAAAATGACGATGAGAAAATAAAAAATGCCTACCTTGTGATCATGCTCGGCCTTCGTAAACACTTGATTTCGACCTCGGTCCGTAATCGGTTTGTTTTTACCAAAACCGGGGGACGTCCCGGTATATCTAGCTATTGCTTCTTTTACATGCTTGGCGTTGAGCCTAAAACCATCCAGAAGAATAAGACTGAGACGACAGTGAGTAAAAAGTAAGTAGATCAAGAGAAGACATGGAAACCTACATTCTCATAAACTGCAGTTGTCTGTTCACATACTGATTCAGCAACTTCTTAGTGACGATTTCAGAACTAGGACTAATGATTTCTACCAATGCTTTTGCGTACTTGATCCACAGCTCCAGTTTTGGTACCTTAAGAAGAAAAAAAGTATTCACAAAGTCAACCACTCCAAAAAGTTGGCATAACTTGACACCTATGCCTACCTCATAGATTTTCGATTTTTCAGAGCGGACCGCATCAAGCTGCATACGAAGGAATCGACTGAATGAAGGAATCCCTACAAACTGCAGATTTGCAACAGATACCTATAAGATTCATTTCCAGAAAGATAGTAGAGAACATACTTTCCGACTTTTCATCCGCATCTTCAGTAATGTCTTCTCCCAACGCAATCTGCAGAATATCAGAAAGCGGATTGACATTGACCGCTACAGGCTGCATAACATTGACATATGCGTCACTCTCAGGGACATAACCAAACGAGTCACCACTAAAAACCTACTCTGTAAATTCAGTAAAATGACTGAAAGCAGAATGCGCAAATTCATGACAAATACGAATTTCAAGCTGAAAACGAAAAAATGTGGAGCTCACGCTATCTGATCAACCAGCTTGTAGCACTTGAGTACTGAGTAAATTTGTGATTCCAGGCTGTGCTCCAGCTTGTCGCAGATTTCGCGCTTAAAAATGCATATTAGTCTCTGTAAGCTCTAAACGGTGTGTAATAACGACCACATGAGCAAAAAAGTAATAAATAAGATATATGGACGATTACTCCATAAGATTTCCTTGTGTGAAAAAGGGTTAAATCCGCCA